ACAATGCTGCAAGTCTGGCTGGAGTTCATGGTGAAATCTGTGATGTATGAACTTGTCTTGTCCCACATAATTTGCATTTGGCTGCTTGTTGCTGGGGTGACTTGTTGCATGTTCGTAGGGTTGTCTGCACAGGTTTCACAAATGGTTTCCCTGACTTTTGCTGGTTTGCTATAAACACTGTCATAAACACTGAGCGATCCACTGAACAGTTCGTCCAAAAAAATCACTTCTTCTTTTTCTTTTTAAAATGAGGATGTGTTGTTTACATGCAGCCTGCGCTACCACCATAGTGCGGCCTATAAAAGTCCCATTCTGAGCTCTCACAAACTCACACAGTCAGCCGTGACGTTGGTGGAGCGTCTGAGGGTTTAGTGATTAGGTTTAAGGTGAAGGTTTGGTTTTGGACTGGCTGTCTGTGCATAGTTACGGTTGCTAAGCTGTGAACAATCACGGCTTTAGGGCGGGGTTTAGAAAATGGTCAAATGTACCTGGACCTGTTTAAGTGTGTCAATATGCTTTTTATTTTCTGAGTAGATTCATGCTACAGAGATGTGTGTGTGTGTGTAGTAGTGTGTATGTGTGCACGTGATAGTTCCAAACTTATCAAGGGCGGGAAGGAAGCAATAAAGAGAGATGAGTGGAGTGGATGGATATACAGACAGATAAGACTTTATAGGCCCGTAGAGGAAACGCAGGCAAAGCCATAGGAGCTGTAAAAAGGAAAGACTTCCTTTTGGAAATGACTTTTTAGAATCTTCTTCTTCTTCCCCGCTGTGAAATCACAAGGCTCTGCATTAATGACCTACACATGCACAGATATTAAAATCATTATGGCAATCATGTGGCGCAGCCTCCTTCTCTCTTTCTTCCTCTCGCTCCTCCTCTGAATCAGCCACTCCAGGCCGCAGCTGCCAGCTTCTAATGACTTCCAGATCTCCGTCTCTTCCTCCCTTCATTCCCCGTCTCCGTGCTTTTCTGCAGCGTCTCAGATGAGCGGGCCAAAGTGGAAGTGGAAATCCGCTGTACTTCAGCCAGTGAGTCAGCTAGCAAAGCACCCGTTTGAAGGAAAACCACAAGCAGGGGTTTGGAGAAGTAATGGATTTTGTTTTTCATAAATCACGTAGAGGTTGTTGAGGCTTTTTTTTTTTAAAGATATATATATATATATTTCAAACGGAAGGCCTTTGATGAGTGTATTAGTTAAATATGTGTGTTTATGCACCAGGGAGCACACTCAGAGAAGAGCTGTTGAAGTTATTTACCTTTACTGGAAACTGGAAGAAGCTTGTGTGTAATTGCTGTGGGACAGGATTTGTGCTTTTAACTTAATGCAGGCTTAATAATGCGGCATTAAAAGTGTGTGTGTGTGTGTGTATGGTGTATGTGTGTGTGTGTGTTAGTGGATCTGTGCCCTCATTGTGTGGCGAACAAATATGGAAAGAGAAAGAGAAAGTTACGTAGCACTAAAATAAGTTTAATTTCACTTTTAGTCATGAGAAAAAAAAGGGGATATGTTTCAGATGAGATGAATGAATGTTTTTGGTTTATTATGAGGTGGAGAACGAGAGGGTGAAGTAAAGCAGGGTCACCGTTCGAGCTGCCGTTACGAGTACGTGACTGATGCGACAACAACTGGCACGTCTGCAAATGGAGCCTGACAGGTGACGCAGAACCAATAAGGCCTGTATGTCACATCCACACTGGTTCACATGGAGCACACACACACACACATTTCAAGCCACATATTTAGACTGTACACATGTAGCGCTTTTAACTAAAAGACACAACACAAACAGACTGACCGTCCACCACAGCCGACGGAGGCGAGAGACGCCCGTCCGCAAGAGCAAACACTGCCTTATATCAAGCGCTCGATGACATTTTAACGGCAACAGCCATCTTTGTGAAGCCGGCCCGTTTCTACGACTGTTTTGATTACTCACTCTTAGTCATCGGTAGCAGCAGCAGCAGCGGCAGCAGCACCGAGGCCTCATGTGCCACATACCGCGACGACCGCGCCGGCACAAAGAAGTCCAGTGAGACCGAGGCCTATCAATCACGTGAGGTCACTGCGGTCCAGCTGAGAGGAGAGTGGGACGGCCGCTCCTTTGTTGTACGTTGTTGTGTTGCGGGCGGCTGACATCACCCTTTGTGGAGTGTGTCATTAAAGAGTGATAAATATCGTGTTCAGCGCCGAGGCAGTGCAGAGAGAGAGGCTCGACCCCGGCAGCTCAAAGGCCCCTAATAGAAGGCTTGAGGGTGTTATTGTGGCGTGCAGGGGGGGCCCTCTGGGGAGAGTCCCGAAACCACAAAATGATGTCGATGATCAGTTGGTGGAACAGAGCGCTGTGAGGGACGAAGGAGCGGTCGCACAAAAGAGTCGACAAAAATAGGAGAAGAAAGTAGAGCAATAAACTCTGCGGTTTTCCTCCATGAGAATTTAAGCACTTTCCATTATGGGCTGCTCCTGAAACTGCTGTAAAAGCTCCCAAATTTGAGCACCGTCATCATTTTACAAGCATTCGTCAGCATGTTATTGTCACACAAGACGAAGTTGGCGAGTAATAAGTTCTCAGCACGGTCGCAGACGTCCACTGAGTCATCGCACCCGCTTGTAATTGACCTGATCATTTAAAAGTGTTTAGCACACTCACGCATGTACGCCCTCCAGAGCAAGACCTGAGTGACAGACGGAGAGTTTGAACAAGCAGAGGTTCAAGTTGTTGCATGCTTGTCTTGTTTTCTCCTCAGGTTTCAAAGTGAAGCATCCAACAAAGAGGGCTCATGTCGGTGACAGCAGCGCCGACAGCTGCGACTCCGGCAGCAGCCATCAACATGAGACACTTGACAAAGCTTGAGAGGGAACCATTGAAAGCATGACGGGGCGATCTACCGTGGAGGTATTCAGGCTGCGCTGTGCCAAATGGGGGAGAGCCGGTAGAAAAGAAAAAGTGATGACTCACCAAACTTCCCAAAATCCCCCTCCCTCCCCCTTCCTGGTTTACTGGAAAAGGAATGCTGTTTTTTTGTTTTTTTTTTTTCCCCTTCAGTCTCAGACGTTCATCTTCTTGACAAGCTGCAGGGTCAGGGCCTGGGTTAATGTTTGTCTGTGGGATTGTTTCATCCCCCCTCCTCTGTAGGGGCCAATCCGGCGAACGGGTCTAATTATGTGAGGCGGACAGTTGAAAGTTTGTTAGCGGTGCGGGGGAGGGCGTGAATAGATACTCGCTTGTGAAACAGATAAGCCTTTGTTCTGCATCATAACCAGCTCCTTTTATACCAGTGATTTACGCTGGTGAGGTTGGGATTTGCCAACTGCCAAATTAATTCACTGTTAATCTAAAACGGATTAGAGGATCAATTGAAATGAGCTCCTTAGTTTTATGTTTCTTAAAGAGATTTTAATCGACCGCACTGTTTTAAGCCCCTTCCCTGGTTTCATAAGCTGTTTTGTTTGGCCTGTACACTGTCAAACAAAAAAAAAACAATTCTTGGACCCTTGAGGCAGAAAAGAAGCTGTTTGCAAAGTGGTTAAATGGTGATTTTTGGGGCATGTATGGTTCCATAAACGCATAAAACCAAATGCTAGTTCAGTAAAACACCATCAGCAATACGATAATAGTTCTGGAAATGATGTGCAATAAATGACAAAATCCTTTCAACTCAAGGTCTACTGGCCTTTTATCAACATCTTGCTGTCTTCCTCAGTGAATAAATCTGTCCCACTTGTCATTACATAACCCAAGTGTGGATCCTCATCAAAAAGAAAAAAGGATTTGTTGGTATTATCTTCCTCCAGCGATGCCCTTTGACCTCCATCCAGCGGATGCTGGAGGCAGTTTGGGTCAGACGACTGACGTTAGTCTGCTTCTGGTGTTCATTAAGTTCCTGGTTCAGGACCCCCGCTGCCTCGTCCATGTTTTGTTTTCCCACAGCTGTCTCATGTGATGTCATAACGATGTCATACACCACTCAGTCATTCTCTCAGGGGGGGCGTTTTGTCTTCAGGGTGAACCAGGATGTTCCTTAAGGTGTTGAACGTAGGAGGTCTGTGTTTATTTCATGATGACATTTTTTTTTTCCAGTGGCTCTTGTATTTTAGGTCACTTTTAATTTAGTCTGACTCACTGGAGGTAGATTGCAGCTTTAATTTTAGGCATTTCTGCTGCACATTTTCCATGACCTGCATGTCAACATTTACCAAATCCCCAACAACCTCTGACCTACGTGCTGAAGAGCCAGGCCTGCTCGGCTATTTCAGGTGAATTACCTGTTTTAATGACAGTGCAAATGGTTCACCAAAACAACTCCTCCGTTTCTATTTTGCAGAGGCGTCGTCATTTTATCCAAGGCTTAGTACTGACCAAGTTGTTTCTGTTTGGTTTAAAGAAATGCAAAAAAGCCTCTTCAGCAGAATGATAACGAGGTGCAATCAGACCATTCTGCACAGCGCTGACACAGCACTGTGGAGATACGTAGGCCTGGTTGTGCAGGACTGCTTTTTACTGTGCAGCATCAGTTTTTCATGATGGTCACCACCCTACCGTGCCAATCACACACTTCCTGCTTCTCCTAAGCTACGTGTTTAGCTCCTCTTAGCTCAAGCAACCTGAAAGCAATAGCAATAGACAAGGGCTAAAGGCTGGCATCTTTTATTTCATTAGCTTTTCAAGGTTATGTGTGCTACCTGCTTAACTGGTGAACTTGAAAAACCGGTTTTAACTAAAGAAAAAGGGCTAAAGTCGCAGCTAACAGTTAATCCAGAGTATCATTCTAGACGCTCAAGCCAAGAGGAGTTACTGAGGATGAAACGCTAAGAGCCTGGTTAAAGCCGCTGCATGCCCATGAACAGTGGATGCATGTGCACTTCCTGTCATACTACAGTATGCAGTAGGTGTTGGCCCTCTTCTCAGACAGTCGCATCGCCCCTCATGCTGAACACAGAAAAAGACACAGAGCTCCAGTGTTTCTGAAAGGCTGGCAGTAACTTTATGCTTTTTACAGGATAAAGCAGCGAGCTCCAGATTGGACCGTAGCACCCTGTCAGTGGGCGGACGTACCGCTCTGGAGAGCTTCCCCTTGTGTTCTGTTGATGGAAAGCATGGAACCAAAACCCAAAGCACCTCGAAAGTCTTGCAGCGACTACTTTAGGTACAACTCTTTCAATGATAAATTATAAAGATGTGGATAACAACAAATCCAGCTGCAATGCAATTTGTTTTGCTGCACATGTGCAAAAAGTGCTTGTGGACTGAAATATGTTGCAGACCTGTGGATGCAGAGAGTATGAATTGGTCTTTGCACACACAGACAGTTGTGTACGTCCCAGATGCAGAGTTGTTCTCATTAGACTTTCTATTCCACTTGGATTCTGCTTGGAATACAGGTTCCATTTATGCAAATAACTGGAGGCAATGAAATGCATTTCACTCAACCAACTAGAAGTCTTTAACTTTTTGACAATATTGTATAAAATCTGCTCTATTTTGTCGCAATAAATCTAAACAACACTTCATGCATTGGGTTTTACTAATTTCTTTAATTATTTCCGAAAGTAATTGTGGCTTCGTGTTTTATTTTTATCCACTTTAGTCACATAATTGCTTATTTAATTGTGACTCTACTTAATAATAATAACCAGCAAACCGCACTGAGAACCAGAAACTGTACAGAGAATTACTATGACTAAATGCGTTCAACCACTTCGCAGCCTCGCTTATTTTCTCATGTTTTTAACGCCTTCGAGTTTCTTCGGCGATGACAATGAAATCCGGGACGATTACCGACATGTTATCCCGGAGATAACAATAACAGCGGTGCAGCGTTGAGCCGTGAGTGGGTGTGAGATCATGAGGCTCTGCGGTTAAGGAGAGCCGCTTGCAGGCTCTGCGCTGCGAGGAATTCAGGCCGCTGACCCTCTGCAGCGAGTTGAAAGGTCGCCGGAGTTATCGTTTCAACGAGGCTCTAATCCTCCAATGACAACTCCTTTTTCAAACACCATTCAAAGTCAGCCTTTATTCACTCTCCTGTAATTATCCTCCAAACCACAGGTGCTATCGCTTCTTCTTTGTGTGTATATCTCTTTGTGGCAGGAGTGTGTGACATACCTTTTACTTTGTGTTTACCTTGTGATAGCCATCGCCACTTCAAAGCGGCTGCGCTCAGAGTCCGACTCAGCTTCTCAATCAGCGGCCGGGCTTCGCTGCATGAGATCAGAGGAGCTCAACGCAAGTTGGCGCATGGATGATGGATCCTTAAGAAATGAGACAACTTGTGGGGTCAGCAACTTTCACTGGTTGGGGCCATCAGCCTGCCGTGTCGGTGGCGTGTCAGTCTGAGGGGACACTTGGTTGACTCGTGTCCAGCTCACGCTCACTACAGACGGGTGTCTGAATGGATGAGGCTCAGTCGGACGGTCCACACTAGTTTTATGCTGATGCTGCTAAAGACAGACGGATGAGCAGCAAGTGAGGAACTATGCCAATGCGTGCAAACACACACTGCGCTGGCCATTTTGTTAGGAACAGTTTAATGTAGGGTTCTGGTACATGCTTTGCCTTTACGAACCCTGTAATAGTTCACATTTCAAGAGGTTTGAACTCTTACATACTGTCAAATTTGACCCGTTTTGACATTTGACAGCAGCAAAAACACCCTAAACATTGTTCTTTAAACCTGAAATTTGACCCAAAATGTTATACTTAAGTACACGTGCTACAAATTTTTGTACACTGAGGCTCCAGTTTGACCCATTGAGACGGATTTTAGATCCACCAGTGTGGGTCAAATCAAGGAACATGGTGGTTTTAGGGAATCTTGAAACTGTACAGGCCATGTTTTATTTTATATTTACATTTATTGCAGCTGCTCACTTCCCAACAGCAACCTCATCCACCTCCTCATCCCCAAAGCCCGCACCATCTTTGGCTGCTATTCATTTAAGTTTTCTGCAGCTCTTGACTGGAACCAGTTACAAAAACACTCAAACTCAGTGTCTTTATACCTTTATCTTCTTTTTTAAAATATGGTGAAGGAACTATTTACTGAGTCCTGTACCTGCTTTTGGTGAATTTTATCTTCAAAGCCTTTTATTGTTATGTTTTGTTTGTGTATTGTTTTTTATGGATGTATTGCCTTTATTGTATTTTCTGCTCTGTGTTGCCTCTTGGCCAGGTCGTTATTGTAAATGAGAATCTGTTCTCAATTAACCCACCTGGTTAAACAAAGGAAAAATAAAATAAATATTAATGTGACATCGGCTATTTAGACGTTCTAAATAAATCTGCCGTTTAAAATTTGTTATAGACAGTTACTATGAGGAAATTCTTGACAGGAGTTCTTCAGTGTGGTTTGATTCAAAATTGACCCGAACCATCCTGTAAAGGCATAAAATTTGAACAGTCTGTAAGGGTTAACTACTTTATGTCATCGTTAATGACGGTGTTGCACTTTACTGCATCTTATTAAAATGTGTCTCTAAAGCTTTTCCCCTGTCACGGGGGGGCAATCGGGGAACCCAGGAGCAGACACAGATCAGGCTGACAGGCAGGTACAGTGCAAAAGGATTCTAATAAGGCAGAAACAAAACGGAAAACTAAATATAAGGGTGCAGACTAAACAGAGTGGGAAACAGAACGAAACAAATACACAGAATTCAAAAAAGGACGAAACTACAAAACCAGAGAAAACTCCAACTAAGAACGGAGGGGGAAACCTAACGGATTCTAAGTTACAAAAAACCAGGAAAACTCACAGAAACAGGAATACTCACTAAGGAGGGAAAACAGAGGGGCAGACAGGCTCAGGGAAATCCAGGGAGAGGCGAAGTGGAGACTGGCAGAAACGTGCAAATGTAATGTCTATGATCCGG